CCCATGAATCTCTCAAACGGAGATTGATATAGAAGATCCCTCTGGTGCAAATGTGACACGACGAAAAGATTGATGTCTTCTCCCAAGTGCAGGAGTGTCGAAGTAATAAATAACCCGACAAAACCGGGGTCGAACCACAGGGAGGTTAATTGTACAAATTATAAACAACAATTATAAACAACAATAATAGCAATAACAACGATAACTATAATAATAATAATAATAATAATAATAATAATAATAATAATAATAATAATAATAATAGTATTAGTAGTAGTAGTAGTAGTAGTAGTAGTAGTAGTAGTAGTAGTAGTAGTAGTAATAATGAAAGAGAAGAAGAAGAAGATGATGATGATGATAACTTTGAGATGAAATATTAATTAAACAATGATAATAACAAATGTCAAGGTTAGAGATTCCACTAATGGTATGTGAAACAAGTATAATATAAACTCTTATTATTCAATTGGAAACCACACATAAAGGAGGTTCCAATCAGATTATAGATTGTTAACATGATTACATTAATCATCTTATTCGTATAAACTCTTATTATTCCAAAACATGTCGTCAAGCATTCATGATCAAATCAAGTTCCTTTCATAGCTCAGGTGTCGGTTATACCATACATTATGGGCTATGAAAGTGTCAAGCATTTGTTGTACCAAGTGTTATACAACATAAATCAAGATTAGTTATTTAACAAGCAAAGTATTAAAGAGTGAACAAGATAACAAATATAAAACATGTTAGTATCAAACATTAAAGTCCATATTAAGTTTACACTATACTTATTCTTACACCATTAGTGTAACCTTTTCACCTTGACATAATAAACTTAGCTAGACATAATGAAAGAAAGAAAAATAGATAAACAAAATAAGAACATAAAAGCTAACTAAGTAAAGGAAAGGAAATGAAAAGCATAAACTTAATATTAATGAAAGCAAAGCATAAACATTACAAAAAATACAAAGAGAGAAAGGAAGAGCATGATCTTGATCTGAACACCAAGATGCCTAAATGCATGGAAAATGCCTACTTTTATAGGCCAAAATTGAGAACTATTGATTTGATGACTAATTGATAAGTGGGTGGCCAACTTTTGACTTGGTGACAATCCTTATCTTCTATTGTCTGCCCAAAACGTCATTGATAACGTCAAAATTGGAGCCAGTTGCAAACATGAAAGTTGTAGGAAATTGTCTCATATTTCTTGTGTAAAAACTTCAGCTCATTTGGACTTCTAGAACTCCAGATATGGCCAAAATACTGAACAGTGATCGGGCTGGAAAACAGATTCGGGCTTCTTTGTTGTTGCTATAATTTGGACTTGAAAATGGCCTTTTTAGATCTTAGACTCCATATGAAAGTTGTAGGCCTATGTCTTACCTTTCCATCCATATAAATTGGAACTAAATATGAGATATATAGCTCCAGATATGACCCAATTACCAAACAGTGTTCCGGTTTGGATTGCACCGACATCTCTTTTCTAAGTTTGGTCATCTCTTTGCCCTTGCAATTTAAGTTCTTAAAGTCATCAATCAATCCTTTCATTTATGTGATAGGCCTGCATTTAAAATGAACATTTACCATAAATTAAAGGTATCTTATATTATTAGATATATTATTATAAAACATGTTTTAGTTAAGGAGTTATTGATACTTCAAGTGCAAAATGATGATATAAAACCATGATAAAAATACACTTTTAAGTACTAATCAAAATGTACAAGACATAAAGGACAACAACATATCCAAATATCGTTCTGATCCAATGGTGGAAGTTGGAGTTATAACCGTCGGAGTTTTTACTATCAATATATCTTCTCTTTAGCCTATCTCTAAACTCTTTAAATCACCCAAATATGTCCCCTTTTTTTTTATCATTTATTAACTCTTTTTAATCACTTTAGGTTAATATTTTGGTGTAGATTTCATCAAGGAATGAGAAGGAAAGATCAAAAAATCATAACCCCTCTTTTGCTCTTACAAGTCACCACAATAAGAAAATAGAATGATTTTTATAGTATTATCTTTTTGTTAATGGCACTTGTACCCTTATCCCTTCTTATCATTTGTACATAAACCCCTAACATTTTGTTATTTGAACATTGAATCCTCTTGGTTTTACATATTCATTTTATCCCCGTAAAATTTTTCTTTCTAACAATTTAGTGCCATATTCATTTTTTATTTCATTAATTTCACCATTTTTATCTTAATTTAGGTTTTTTTAATTTAATTGAACCCATTTTACTATCGGTTAAATTTCTCATATTTTAATAACCATTATAACCAAAAATTTACAATTACACAATTATTCCTCATGCTTATTAAAAGTATGTTGTGATATTTACTAATTATTACAATTGGTTTATCTGGGTGCGTCTTAATTTTCTACTTGTATTAAGATACTGAGATCTTATTCGGGTGGGGAATATATATGTCATGAACTTCATGATTTCTTACATCAAAGAGGTATTGTCTCACATCTCTCATGTCCTTATACGCCACAATAAAATAAGATTGTTAAGCTTGTGAACTGTCATCTTTTAGATATCATTAAGACCTTATTGATTAAGTTTTTTATACCATCTAAATTATAGGTTGAAGCTTTGCCACTATAGTTAATTTAATAAATAAAATTTCATCTCAGGTGTTAAGTTTTAATTCCTTATACTATTATATTTACAATAAATTTCCTAGCTATAATAATTCTCATACTTTTGATTGTGTTTGTTTTGTTTATTTTCCTTCTTATAAACAACACAAACTTTCTATTTAGTCTATTAAATGTATTTTTTTAGGTTATAGTGTTTCTTACAGAGGTTTTGTTTATTATGATTTGAGGTATAATAAATTTTATATTTTTAGAAATGTTGTTTTCTTTGACAATCAATATTTCTTCTCTACTTATGTTGAACCTTTATTTGTTGCTCCAGTTCTTCTTAATTTTAAGGATTTATCATCTCTTTAAAGATTCAGGCCACAAAATGTGTATGAAAGATGTTGACCAACTTTATTTTTTTCTTGCAGCTGCTCCACTACCTTAGATTGCTCTTAAGACTACTTTTGTGTCTCCTCCTTTTAAGTCTACTTTTTGGTGTTTATTAGCATATTTCATCCCTTTAATTAGTATGGTTTTTTTATTTATTTTGCCCACTATTAATAATCCATCATATTACTGATAAATTGTTAAGCATGAGTGTTGACAAAAAGCACTGCAGGAGGAACTTCTAGCTCTTTAGGATAACCATACATGGAAAATTATTTCTTGTCCTCTGTTTGTTAAGCCTAATAGGTGTAAATAAATGTACTCAATTAAGTTTCTCTCTAATAAAACTCTAGATCAATTTAAAGCATGAATGGTTGCTCTTGAGAATAAGCAGAAGTATGGAGTGGACTCTGAGGGGACTTTTAGTTTCGTTGTAAAAATGATTACAATGTGTACCATTATTGTCATTGTTGCTTCTCAAGGTTGGCCCATTCATCGAATAAACATAAAAAATGTTTTTCTTTATAGCGATCTCAAAAAAAATAAAATTATATGGAACCTCCGTTTGGTTTGTTCTCCCCTTTACATCAGTTATATGTAACTTGAAAAGGTCCTTGTATGGTTTGAAATAGGCTCCCCGAGTGTGGTTTAATAAGTTATAATCTACCTTGCTTTGCATAAATTGCTTTGCTTCTATTTTATGCAAAACAAATATCTCGTTATTTCTTTGCAAGCCATCTACTAGTTTTTTTCTCCTATTTATTTATATAGACGATATTGTTATTGTAAAAACTGATTCTTTATTGATTAAAAACCTTCAATAACATTTTTAGAATTGTTTTCACATGAAAGACCTTGGTTCATCATACTTTTTCTGTGGAGTTTTTGCTTTGACATAAATATACTCAAGATTTGATTTCTTTAGCTAGTTTTTAAGACTTTTTCTCCAATTGATACTTCTCTGGATATGAATGTTAAGTTTTGATATCGAGAGGGGGATCTTTTTCTTGATCATATTTTATTTCAATAATTAGTTAACAGCTTGAATTGTCTCAATATTACTCAATCTAATATCTCTTTTACAATTCAACAAGTCAATCAATTCATGCAATCTCTATATCACTAACATTTGGTACTTATTTACCACATCTTTTGATATATATCTGGTTCTTTTAGTTATTGTTTATTATTTTTCCCAAATAGTTTTATATTTGGTTCTTTTCGCTATGGTCTATTTTTTTTAGATAGTTTTTAATTTTGTTTTATTCTCTTTAGTAATATTGATTGGATAGGATATCTTGATACATTTTACTCTCACGATTCCTTGATATCTTAGAAAAAAAAAAAAAAACATAATTGAGTTTCCAAATCTTTGATTGGTCATGAATATAGAGCCATGTTGGTTGTTTTTCAAGGATTATTTGGCTTGGTAAGTTTCTCTTAAAACACCAGTGTTATTCATTTTGCTATCAATCTTATTTTCAGATTTACTTTCAAGCCCACAGAGAACTATTCAACAATCAAGACATGGATGAAGGTGGCGATGACACTCATGGTAAATGCAGTCAGAAGTTGTTGGTGGTAAAATCAGAGTGGACCTCTGAATTGCGGAAATCAGCCCGAAGAGTCAGATGCTCTTGATGAAGGTGCAGTTCGGGTCAGTTTTCTGGACAGGAAGTGTCGTCAGAAGTAATCTGTTTGCCTGGATTATTTTCAAATCGATTGGCAGATAAGCTTTTATGTTGACTCACGATTTACGAACTTGGAAGACTGGACAGACTAACAAGTGTAAAAACAAGTATATCACTAAATTGGTAAAAATAAAATTTAGTGTTTTCAGATAACTGTGCTCATAATATTAAACACCATTACCACAATACCACGTTTTAACATCAACAGCCAGCAGCAAGCCTGCACCTTCACTTTCTTCCAACAGCTTCACCGCGCGTTCCTAGTACACGCAGCCAAAACGCATGCAAAACTGTTTGGGATCGAGATCAAACAGAATCAGGCACCCTGCTTTGTAGGCAACGCAAGACTTGAAAGTTTATATTAGGAACAATGTGGGAAAAAAAACAAGCCAATATTTGATGCTGAGGACATCCTACAGAAAGGAAAAACCAAAAAATAGGGGGCACTTAAAACACTGACCCTCAAAAAAGAGTACACTCCGGTCTCTGCACAACAAAAGTCGGGGCAAAAGGACCTTTGAGGTCTAAACCTCTCTTAAAACCCCCTTTCTTTAAAAACGGGTTCTAGAGACTAGCTCTCAAGATAAAATTACGTGAACCACACACGATGGGAGGGCTTCACAGGTGAAAAGATGAGAAAGACATCAAAGACCCACATCCTCACATAATGTCAGCCCACCAAAGAGTTCGTCTCAGCCTCCTTAAAAGTTGTTCTGATACAGCGGGACCAAATTTCTTAATTCAATACGACAGATTCTGTTGCTGCATTGAATTATGCAGTCTCGGACTTGTCAGTCTCCATTGGTTCTCCAGAAGCAGGTGGCACCTCGCCGCTGGCAGCTCCTGCAGTCTCATTGGCACCAGCATTAGCACTGGGGTCAGCATTCGCTTCTCCCTGCTGTTGCTGTTCACTACCCTGAGGTGGTGGAGTTGCTGGAGTCTCAGGAGTGGCTGGTTTTGCTGGTTTTGGTTTCGTCATTATAGGCCTGCAAAACCTGCAGAAACAAACATTCTAATCTTAATGCTGACCAAAATCTCACCCTATACAGGCCAGGAAAAGCAGCTGAATGTTGCCACATCGTATCAGAAACATCCCCCCCATCTAAGCTTAGAGAACTGCAAAGAACAAAACTCAAAGCAAAGATGAAACAAGAAATAATACCTATCAAGTGCCTCAGCCTTCTTTCTCACATCAGCTGACAAAAGAACTGGAGTGGCATATTTGGGAAGTGAGTCCTGATGTTGCTTCTTCTCTCTTAACCAGGCTTCAGCTTCTACACACTCGTTCAAAACCTATCACATAACGAGACAATGGCTTTAGTTGACACTTTCATCACAACAAACAACCACATACAAAAATCTAATAAGTCTTTACCTTTTGCTTTTCAGTCAAGTCAATGTGCTCAAATTTAGGATCACTAGACACTGCTGCCTCTCTGTAACTATTGACACAATAAACAAGCTGATCAATCACAGACCCCCTCTCTGTGTACTCCTTGTAGCGCTCTTCAATAGGATCACCTTGCTGCAATCATTAACATCATTAAACATGCACGTGAGAAATAACCAACCAGCCCCTTTTTCACAGGACAAGGAGAAGTGGACAAACACACACTCTCAGCAAAATAGAAGTGCTTACTTTCTTGAGCTCCTCAAGCTTGGCAATGTAGACACCCTTGGTTTCATCTTCACCATCCTCATACAACCAATCTTCTGTCTCCTGCAGTTTAGCTGTGAATCCCTCCCTCTCAGGGTCAGTGACAAACTCCTGGTATCTGTCACTTAACTGAACAATACAAAAGCATTGTAACATCTGACTATATGAAGGCTGCCAAAAAGTCATGCTGTAAAGTAAAGATTAATTTCTACCTTATTCCTCATATCGTAGACATAAGCTTCAACAGCATTCTTCTTTTCTTTTGTTTCCTCCATAACCCGGTCTTGCAATGCCATTTCATACTCTTTTTCTAGTAGTTTTTCCACTTCAGCTGCCAGTATTCCACCATAAACCACCTCTGACACAGGGATGTTTGTTTTCTTTACTTTTTTCTTGGGAGCCTCAACCTGAAACCAGGGAAAAGGATTTTAAAGAAACCTGGGTCTATGAAAGAATGTATCAAAAGGAAAAGATGTTCTCCTCCAAGCTTCTGACTGTACCACAACTGAAATTTAATGTAGGAAGATCCTACACGATCCTAAATTGTAGGGGGAACTGACCTTGGTATCAGTTTCCATTTGTGTTGGCTTGTCAGCCTCAGGAACACCATTTTCAGCCCCAGAAACATCAGCAGCTGGTTTTGCCTCTTCCATATTGGCATCTGCTTCTTCAGGGCCCTTAGTGGCAGCATCACTGGGAGCTTCATCAGTATCCATCTTGGCAGGTTCCTTTGCTGGCTCTTTTGTGACAGGAACTTCAACCTCCTCTTCCTCCAAAAGCTGACAGAAGCATAACATCAGTAAGGCTGGTAAATATATCATTATTAATAAACTACAATGAGAATCACAAACACTCTTCAAGACTTACAGTTGCCGATTCAACAGACACAATCCCATGCAGATTCAAGCGGACTTTCACCTTCACTTTTGCACGTTCACTTTTTGTAGATTGGAAAGGACCAATCTGCAAGTGAAGTTCATATGACATAGATTAATAATAAAATTAGGCCATGTCCTTGAGATCACATTAATTAAAAATGTGAATTTTTGATACTGCATGTTAACTTCCTACCGTGTATGTGCTGATCTTAGCTGGAGCCTGCAATTCACTGACATCAGCGTATTGTACATCAATGGAGAACGTCCCTGACCTATAGAATGTCAAAGCCTTGATGCTAGGAATGGGATTGCCCTTGGGGAAGACAATAGTGCTCTGTTGATTATCTGCTGCTCCATTCTGAGAATCTGGAGCTGCACCTTTCCATGATACAGCAATTGAAAATGGGAAGCATTCATGGACCTGGAAAAGGAACAGTCAACAATTCATGCAATATACTTCATAGACTTTTGATTGCTGGGAACCAAATCATAGGCAAGCAGAAGGTCACACAAAGCGTCCAATAATAAGGTTGAAAAGCACATCTACATTTCCAAGCCATAACGACTGCAATTTCTACAATAAATTAAAGAATGCATCCAAGATAACATGATGACTCTCAAACTTGGTATCCTTAATTATTCATCTTTTGCATTAAACAAATTATATAGCAACCAGGTCTTGAAAACAGTAGCACTCCTCACTCTGCAAGTCTAATTCCCTTTCCTTTTTAGCGCATCTAAAAAATCCAAAGATTAACACAGTTCCAGTTGCATCATTAAATGAAAGAAGACATAAGATGCCAATGATATAGCACTAAGTGAATAAAATCATATGATGCTATAATCATGCTAGCAAAGATATCACCAACATATCATATCATCAAAATAACACTAATAGCAAACAAGTTAAGAGGATTTTACCTGGAACTCTCGCACTTTGAAAGTGGGACTAAGAATAGCACACTGCAATGCACAGCCCCTGGAGACACTCTCGCTGGAATTCATTGTACGCCTAGGTTCCTTTCCAAAGAACTCGGTCAAAATCTTCATTATGGCAGGTACACGAGAAGCAGAGCCGACCACTTCAACTGTATGAACATTCTCAACTGCAAGTCCAGCATCCTGTAGTGCCTTCTCCAAAGGCCTCTTCACACGTTCCAATATCGGAATGCTAATTTGTTCAAACTCTTCCCTCTTAATAATGCCTCTAACATCCTTCTCCTCCATTAAGCATTCAATATTAAGAGGTGCCACTGGGTTGGCACTAAGAACCTTCTTCAGCTTCTCACAGGCAGCCCTAAGCCTAAGGCATGCTCTTGCATTCTGGAAAACATCAATGTGATACTCTGCCTTGAACTTGGTGGTGAAGTGTTGGAACAGAGCTTCATCAAAATCTCTACCACCCAAGGAACGATCAAATGAATGAGCCAAGATCTTAAGTTGACCCTTCTTGAATCCAGCAATGCACACTTGCATGCTTGCATGTCCAACATCAACAAAAGCAACATTCAACTGGTCATTCTCAGGCAAATCCGTCTTATAAATACCATAAGCCAGAGCTGTAGCTGTGGTCTCATGCATCAAACGGAGAGGATGCAATCCAGCAATTGTGGCTGCATCCAAAACAGCCCTCCTTTGAAGATCAGTGAAATATACCGGAATACCAATACAGCAATCCACCACTGCTGCATTCAGATTTTTCTGGCCTATGATTTTCAAATCTGCAAACACCATTCCCAAGACTTGGGTAGGTGTGAACGTCCTCATCTCACCCAAATACCGTGCCTGAATTAAAGGAAATCCATCAGGACCTTCAGTGACTGTAAAAGGCAATGACTTCAGATCCCTTTGCAATTCAGGGTCTGAAAAGGGACGCCCAATTAACCGCTTGATCTGGGAAATAGAATTTTTGGGATTCATCATGGTTGAGGCAGCCCCTGCAGTCCCAATGAAACGCTGTTTGTCGCCAAAACATACAATAGCAGGAGTCTCACGCTTTGATTCATCATTAAGCACAACATCAATCCCTCTTTGTCTCGCAACAGCAACAAGGCAGTTCTCATTACCAAAATCAAAACCAACCACACTCATGATTGCTAAAAATAATTACCGATTTATAAATCGGTTATTGCCCTATAAGTTATGTGGCAAGCTGCACAAAACAACCAGAGATCAAATCTAATTGCCACTAACAAAAATAGTAACATAATCATCACAAATCAAAAGGCAATGCATGAATCAGGAATAAAAATCCAAGCAGTCATAGCATCAGAGTAAATAATATAAAGCCACAACGAACCCAAGACAAGAACCAGAAAAGGCACACAATCAAAACGGATTCATAGTTTTCCTTGTGGAAGCGCAGCCTAAAAAGACAAAAAAAGAAGGAAGAAAGAAAGGTACAAATTCTGCAGTGTATGAGTCACTACCGCCAAAACCCTTAAACCCACAGATCCATATATATATGTAAAAAAAAAAAAATCAATCAATTACTAATGCATGCGATTATACAGCAAAAAATCTGTAAAAAATACAAACTTCAAAATGTAATTGAATCAACAATCTAATCACCATAATAGCTTCTTGCTACTATTATTACTACTAACATAAAATATAACAGGAAACAATTAAGAAAAAAAAATGATAATCAGCTGAATCTAACAGCGAAAGGCACGATCAACAACAAAACTACAATCAATGAAGAAAATTGTAAATCTTTAGAGGTAAATCTAGAAATAAGAACTCACAGATCTATAAAAAGTTCTAGAGACAGGAGGAAAGGAAACACCAAATCGTTGATTTGGTAGCTAATTAATGTTTACAATGATGTAAATCAAATCTAAGCTAGGGTTAGAGATAGATAGGAACTTACCTGTAAAACAAGAGGAGATGGAAATACGGAGCGACGGGAGGGGTTCGGGTGGTTCTAGAAATCTTTTTTTTCTTATATAAGAAAGGAAACGAAACGAGTAAAAGCTTTAACTTAAATCAAAAGAGGGAGCGCAAGCGAGGGCTGCTTTTTCTTTTTTTTTTAAAAAAAAATAGGGTTTGTTTTGGATTTTTACATTTAAAAAGTATTTTAAAAAATTTAAATTATTTTTTTAGAATTTTAAATGGTTTTGATGTAAAAAAAATATTATTTTAATATATTTTTAAATAAAAAACAACTCATATCATAATTACACATATTCTATTGTTGCGATTGGAATTTTCCATTTTTATTTTTTCATATTATTTTTTGTATTTATATCATAATTACGAACACTGACATAAAAATAAATATTTTTTTATGAGTAATTAAAAAATAAATCGATCTGTGCAGGTGGGGTCGACGTGGTCGTCTGAAGAGAAGAGTAGAGATGTATCGAGCTTTAATTGTGTTTCTGGTGATTCTAGAAACATCTACTACCTGGACTTTCTGTCATGAGATACTGTCGTGCTAGTCTAGGTCTTGTTTTGCTTAGTTGGGCTAAATTTCATGGGCCTGTACTGTTTTATAATCAATCTGGGCTTGGTTTCTATTTCCAAAATTCATAACTATCCCCAGGAAACCAATCTTCTTTTCGACCTTTTCAAAAATAATATTCTGCTTCGGAAGCATAATATCACAGGAAAAAAATTAAATATTAACTTAATGATTAAAGAGATTTGTTTTATTAAATTTAAGTTTTGGGACCATAGCTTAAATATATATATATATATATATGTATGTATGTATGTATGTGTATTATTTTTATAGAAATATAAAAAATAACATTCTCCATGTTTTAGCTCTTTCTTTCTTTCTTTTTAGAAACTCCAACAGGATTGCTAAATCAATAGGTGGAATAACATTTCTCTCAATGAAGTGTTATTTCTGCACATTATATCAAAAAACTAAAACATGGAGATGGTACAAATAATCGTCTGGCAACGGCTATTTCATCTGCACTTGCCCTCTCTTCCTTTTTAAAAATTGATGCAAGAAAATCTAGCCAGGTTTATTTATTTTTATGTTTTAAAAAAAATTAATTTTTTTTTATATTTTTACTAATTTTAAATTAATATATTTTTAATATTTTTAAATAATTTTAATGTAAAGATATTAAAAATAATTTTTAAAAATTAAAAAATATTATTAATATTTATTTTAACACAAAAAATTATTTAAAAAATAATTTTAACCATGTTATCTGCTCATTCGTTTAATAATATGGTTGACATTACTCGTCAACCGTGTACAATGGAGTTGGGTTGAGACTAAAATCATGTGTATAAAATACGATGGTTGATAGAAAGGCTGCTGACAGCGAGGGGGGAGAGCTGCTGGTGTGGGTTAGTGGAGGAAGGAAAGTTCGTCGGCTGCCATGGGTGGTTTTGTTGGTTGTTGGTGGCTATGCACTGAGGCATGCACAAAAAGGGCTGTGGCCTGAGCTTCGGCTGAAGGGAAAAGATGAAGGTAAAGAAAAATGTTTTTTTTTATTCAAAGTAAAACGGTCAGAGTTTTATGGCCCGTGATAAAACCTAAGGCCTCCTTTAATTCCGTATTTTCAACCTTGCTTTGTGCAGAATGCCCCCGCTATTTTTCTTTTCCATGTTTTAGGCAATGTCTCTCGATCGTCTCTTATTATTTTTTAGTCCTTTATTCTCTTCTGTAACTCCATTTTAATCCACTTCTCTTTATTTATTTTATCTTTGATTTTTTATTCTTTTTTAATTTTTTGAAAATACATAGAAAATATAGGGTTAAAATTGAGTTATAACAATAGTGTTTTAAAATATAATTTGAATATATCTTATATTAAAAATCTCTTAGTGAAGTTCCCTCTCTTTTTTTCTAGATTCAAATTTATCAAGCTATTTCACTACTTTTCCTATAATTGAGTCAAAACATATTATTTCTGGACCAAGGGAGAGGGTGTTTGTCTTTGTGGTAATTATTGTGGTTGTGGTTTGATAAAAATAATTTTAAAAAAATCACTTTTTTGTTGTTGGTTTATATAAAATGTGTGTTTAGTTAAAATTGTAGTTTGATTTTTTTATCCAAAATCATGTCATGATATGTTGGTTAAAATTGTGGTTGGGATTGGTGTTGTACATAAAATGACTGAAAATGACATAAATTAATTTATTATGTTTTAAATAGAAAAAATAACATTTAGTAGAAACAATAATCGGTGTAAAAAGAAATCGTTCACTTAAAAAAAAATTATTTCCCTATTAAACTTGTTGCAATGTCATCACGAACATAATCCATGCGTAAAGCCTTCTGGTGCCCACGTATTTGTGATCGTAGAACCACATCGATTAAAATATAATCAACAACAAAATCAAGATGGCGATCAAACTTATTAAATGCAACATCTTGAATCAACTTCCTTCAAATGTAATTATGTAGTGTCATTGATGCGACATTAATTTAAACTTGTGTTTTGCAAGGAAACACAAGCATGTTTTGCAAGATTCTCCACCTTTTCTTCCAAACTCTAAAAGTATGTTATATTACACATCATAACGATGAATAGATACAGTTGAATATTTCTTCCCGACTTTGCGGTTGTCCTCATCGATGAAATTCTAGCATATGATATCTTTCACCACTATATAGTCTCAAGTAACTGTACTTATTGGATATCTTGAATCAACAAAATAATACTTTCCTACATCAAGATAATGTTCGTTCAAAACTTAATTCCTATTATAAACCAAAAATAAAATTATTCAAATTTAATAACACCCCCATCTTTTATTTCTCAATACCTTATGGTGAATTCAGAAATCTTATATTTAGATTGCTAATCACCTCAAAAAATATTCTTGTATCGTGTGCATTACCTTCCCACTTAACCCAAACAAATATAAATTGCATGTCAAAGCTACATGCTATCATTATATTTTGAGTGAGTACACCTTTTCTGCCAATAAATGATATTTTATTTTCTTATGATACACAAGCACGTACACATGTCTTTTATCAATTGCTCTAATACAATTTTACATAAAAAAATAGTTTAACAATCAATTGAAAGATAGTCAAAATATTTCTTTGTAATCTTTTCAATTATTTAATAACTTAGAAAATTTATTTTTCATCTTGAAATGTGACCTATATCTTGGATTCATTGTGATTTTTGTTGGTGTTATGGAGAATTTTGGATCTACCTGTTTGATTAATTTAATAACTAGCAAGCACATCGACATGAGAACTTTGTTGAAATATCTGTTTTATTTTATTTTTTAATTTTGAATTTTTTTGCTTTTTTGAAAATATATAGAAAAAATAGGGTTAAAATTAAGTTATAAAAATAATTAATGGTGTTTTAAAGTATAATTTAAATGTATGTTATATAGAAAATCTCTAACTTGAGCTTTCCGTAGATAGATTCAACTTTGCTAAGCTATTTTACCACTTTTCTTATGAGCGAGTCAAAAGATATTCTTTCTCAACAAAGTGATCTTAATCAAACAATTAATGATTTTGTACACTTTAAGTTAAATGTTCAACCAGTAAAAAAGCAACAAAAAAGTGAGAACTTCCAATCTAATAAAGATTATGTTATTTGTGTTTGCATGGTTAAATACAAGCAAAAACTCAATTACATGAGTTGATCAACAAACAAAAAATTATTGGCTTGAGTATATGCTTACTTTATAGAAAGTAGTGGAAATTCAAACAATCATTCCCAAGTAAGAATTTCAAGTAGATGGTAATAAATAAATAGAGAAGATAAATTTGTTGGACTTATTACCTAAATTGAAAACCACCATCAAAGTGGAATGACTGAAATGTTGACTTTTGAGTCACATATTAATATTTTTATATATTTTGATGATAACAATTAAATGAAAAATTGACAAATAATATACTTGGCTGAGAATAAGTCTAAATAGGGTTGTATGAAGAACATAAAAAAGCATGAATGACTGAATGAAGGAATCAATCAACAAGTTTAAGATGCGAAGCAAGTAAAGACTTAGTTTTTAAGTATTCATTTTAGTACTCAAATGTAAATCTTTATATCTTACATAATAGTACAAATTAAAATAAAATTTACAAACTTCACATTGCATATATTATAGGATTGATATGCATTTGGTCAGTTCAAGATTCACCGAGTTTAAAACTGTCAAACCTGGATTTTAAGTTGAATTGGTCGACTGTTTTATCTGTTAGAAAAATAGTAATAGCCACAAAATGACTGGTTTTTCCTATAAACATATATGTAGCAATTGGAAACCACACACAAAGGAGGTTCCAATCAGATTATATATTGTTAACATGATTACATTAGTCATCTTATTCAATTAATGCTAATACTTGTAAATCTCGTCAAGCATTCATGATTATAACTTATGTTAACAACAAATCAAGTTCCTTTCATAGCTCAGGTGTCGGTTATACCATACATTATGGGCTATGAAAGTGCCAAGCATTTGTTGTACCAAGTGTTATATAACATAAATCAAGATTAGTCATTTAACAAGCAAAGTATTAAAGAGTGAACAAGATAGCAAATATAAAACATGTTAGTATCAAACATTAAAGTCCATATTAAGTTTACATTATACTTATTCTTACACCATTAGTGTAACCTTTTCACCTTGACATAATTAACTTAGCTAGACATAATGAAAGAAAGCAAAATAGATAAACAAAATAAGAACATAAAAGTTAACTAAGTAAAGGAAAGGAAATGAAAGGCATAAACTTAATATTAATGAAAACAAAGCATAAAAAATACAAAGAGAGAAAGGAAGAGCATGATCTTGATCTGGAAATCAAGATGCCTAAATGCATGGCAAATGCCTCCTTTTATAGGCCAAAAATGGGAACTATTGATTTGATGACTAATTGATAAGTGGGTGACCAACTTTTGACTTGGTGACAATCCTTATCTTCTCTTGTCTGCCCAAAACGTCATTGATAACGTCAAAATTGGAGCCAGTTGTAAACATGAAAGTTGTAGGCAATTGTCTCAGCTTTCTTGTGTAAAAATTTCA